GTGATGTACCCGTGTGCACGCAGCCAAGGATGGGGATTTTCTTCCTCTGGAGATGTTTCTGGGTTCCTGTGGAGCTGAAATGATTGCACCACTCTTGTCCTGAGCAGGGGGCTGTGATGAAGAACGTCCATTTACTGCTGGGGGTAGTAAAAAAACAAAATCAAGCTTGTTTCAGGTGCCTTAGTGCCAAGCAGCGAGTTTGGCAGGTAGGAGAGGAGGGCTCAGAGCCCTGGAAGCAGGAACTGTTTTCCACTCAGTATTCATCACAGCTGGGCCTGAGCGGTCCGAGCCTGGAGGTCCCTCTCCCGTAGCCATGTAGGGGCTGGGTCCCCCATCCCCATCCCAGCCTGGAGGTTGAGCTGCAAGGGAAGGGAGCAGCAGCACAGCTCCCAGCACCGCCAGCGCTTGGAAATACTCACACCTGGGCAAAACAAACAAATAATATTAATTGAGGTTTCAATGCCAAACAGCAGCAGATGGCTTATCAAGGTGGGGGAAGGTGATGTTTGGGGTTTTCAGATAACGTGGATGAGGCAAGAGCCGCTCTTGGAAAAGAGGGCTGTGGTGAAAGGTGTTGAAGCAGCTGCTGAAAAGAGTGCTCTCTCCAACAGCCACCCCAGCCGCCGAGGATTTGTAGTGTAACTTAATCTGAAAATGCTTTTTCTTCTCTTTCCCGCCCCCTTTCCTATTCTCTGTTGAAGACCCTCGATGGTTTCTGCTGAGTAAACTGCACATCAGAAGGCAAAACTGTTGTGTGGGATGGGGCTTTGCACTCATAGTGGTACAAAACACATTTGTATCTGCAAAATAGCTTTGGTAGAGGAGTTTTGGTAAGCTGTTCTTATAACAAAGGGGTTTTATCAGGGCCCTGTAAATCATCCCGTACACCAGGTCATACGGTGGTTGTCACATTTGCCTTGCTCTTCTGTGAACCAGCTAATGCCGCTTTTTAATTGCTGCCAGAGCCACCACTTTCTGCTGGCCTGGTGCGTTGGGTGGAGATAGGGCTGAACTGGGGCTGGAGCTGCCCTGCACCCTGCTCATCCTCATGGTCTTACCCCTTTCCCTGTGACAATTTGGGGGGCAGAGCTCAAGTTTGGCCCTTGTAGCTTAGGTCCATGGTCCATGGCTTGGGACCAGACAGATGACAACCAGTTTTCATACTGAAAGATGGTGTGGAATTGTAGTTCCTCCCCACAAAAAAAACCCAACATGCTGGAAGAAGAGGTTGGGGACCCCCCCCTCTCCCTCAGGGTGTCAGCAGAAGACATTACCTTTCCTTGATAGTCTGTGATTTATGGAGCAAAACCAAGCCAGGTCGTAGATGCTGTGCTGGGCTCCCACTCAGGATGTCTGCCTGGTGTGGTGGCCATGTGGGGATGGTGACTGGGCAGGTGCTTTGGAGCCAGGAAAGCCTCATAACTGACTGAGTGTACCTTAGAGCATGCGGCTCCGGATGTCTGGGCCCGACCCACCGGCGCCAACAGAGCATTTGCTGCCTTTCTGCTTGCACTGAGGTTTCTCTCCATTCTTGTGTCCCACAGACTGCCTGGAGCTGCTGCCACTGGAGTCCATGGCGTACACCATGACTCCCACGCCGACGGGGCCCGTTGGCTCCCAGTACTGTGTCTGCAAAGTCGAGTTGTCCGTCTGTGGCCAAAACCTTCTGGACAGGGATGTCACTTCCAAATCTGACCCCTTCTGCGTCCTCTTCATGGAAGTTAATGGGAAGTGGGTGGAGGTAAGTCCTGAAGAGGTGTGGATTTCCACCTCCTGTGGTTTGCCTGTGCTGGTGTCTCTTCCCTCTGTGCTGTGCTACAAGTCTGGTCCTCGTTCCTTCCCGAGCAGAGCTGGAAGCTGTTCTGGTTCTCCTGAGGCTGTGTTATTTATTCTGTGTTCTGCAAGCAGTCCATTCCCCATCGGTGCTTTCTGCTTTGTGCTGGAGGTTAGATTTAACTGCAGACCTCAAAATGCTGACATCTGGTGAGGGACGTGGCGGGCGTGAAAGGGTCTTGCCACCTTCAAAGTGGTCCTAGCCCCTTCTCAATCTGCTGTAACCTGGAGATGCTTCGGATTTGTCCCTGCCCGTGGCAGAGGGGTTGGAACTAGATGATCCTTGAGGTCCCTTCCAACCCAAACCAGTCTGTGATTCTGTGATTCTATGCTTTGGGTGCCTGAATTGCCAATCCCATGCGACAGTTAGATGTTGTGACGTCCCGCTTGCAATGGGGCATGCTTCTAGGTGAGCCAAGATAAGCTGGGTTTTGGGTCACATAAAGGAAGTTGGTCTTTGGGTTTTGCTTGAAGAGTGGCTTTTCCTAGGGGCCGGGATGAGGATCTGGCAGGTCAGTCCAGTGGAAAAACGCTACCCAGGGCATTTCGTGCTCTGAACACTTGTGGCCTCCTCAAGAATTATATCATGGTCAACATTCCTTAAGCCGGGCGTTTCATGGGCTTGTGAGCGGCTGGTTGCGGAGAGGACAGGACCACGGGACGGGGAGGGAGACCATTGGGAGCTGGGTGCGTGGGGGTTGGATCAGTTCAGCTGCAGACTGACAGCAACCGGCTGGCAAATCTTGAGTCTTTGCAGACATTGGTCTTTCCTCCTTACCAGAAATCTCATAAGTACAGGCTTCAGCTGCTGTGTTTGATACCGGGAGGCCCTAAGAAGAAACTGCAGAGGATCAGGTTATTTGCTTGGTTTCAGAAGCTGGCTCCTTATAAATGAGAAAGGTGATTCCTACAGGAAGAGAGGAGGGAAGGGATCATGATGTAGACATGGATCAAGTGCACCCTCAGCAAGTTTGCCGACAACACTGAGCTGTGTGGTGTGTCGACACGCTGGAGGGAAGGGATGCCGTCCAGAGGGACCTGGACAGGCTGGAGAGGTGGGCCTGTGTGAACCGCATGGAGTTCAACAAGGCCAAGTGCAAGGTCCTGCACATGGGTCGGAGCAATCCCCAGTATCAGCACAGACTGGGGATGGATGGTCAGAGAGCAGCCCTGAGGAGAAGGACTTGGGGGGTGTTGAGGGACCAGAAGCTCAACAGGAGCCAGCAATGTGCGCTGGCAGCCCAGAAAGCCAAGTGTCCTGGGCTGCATCCCAGCAGCATGAGCAGCAGGTCGAGGGAGGGGATTCTGCCCCTCTACTCCGCTCTGGTGAGACCCCCCTGCAGTGCTGCGTCCAGCTCGGGGGTCCCCAGGACAAGAAGGACATGGAGTTGGTGGAGTAAGTCCAGAGGAGGCCACGGAGATGATGCGAGAGCTGGAGCACCTCTGCTATGGAGACCTCAGGCTGAGAGAGTTGGGGTTGTTCAGCCTGGAGAAGAGAAGGCTGCGGGGAGACCTTAGAGCCCCTTCCAGTCCCTGTTAAAGGGGCTCCAGGAAAGCTGGAGAGGGGCTGGTGCCAAGGGCAGGGAGTGACAGGCCAAGGGGAATGGCCTGAAGCTGCAGGAGGGGAGATGGGGATGGGATGGGAGGCAGAAATCCTTCCCTGTGAGGGTGCTGAGGCCCTGGCACAGGGTGCCCAGAGAAGCTGTGGCTGGCCCCGGCCTCCCGGCAGGGCTCA